TCACTCTTCCTAGCCTTTATTCCCTAAGCTACTTAAAGACTGATCTATACTATAAATTCAGGGTTTGGGGCACATGGGTTTACCTTTATAAGATGACGTTTAATTCACATAATGAACTACTGAATTTTTAAACACTTACTGTTCATTCCGCCTTTCCCAAGCTTTATAAATCCATTCTGGCTTCATAATTGGAGTACCCAAGCTCACAGCAATCTAAACATAAAAACATTAAACTACTATTAATTTTTACTTTAACTGCATACATGGTAGTTCTAAGCAATTATATCTTTCTTTTTTTTTGCAGTTTTAATCATTGTTCATCTACTTTATAACATAAAGAAAAAGTAACAGGACAAAAAAAACCTCTTTCAATCACACAATCTTAAGTTAAAGTAACTTTAAAGCAAATTCCATGATTTGCAAACTATTTCCCTATTTAAGTAACTAAAAACCTCAGTATGAATTAGAAAGTATGAATTCCCAGGAATTCAACATTAAACTAAAATTACCATTTGCTACATAAATGATAAATATACTGAAGGAGGGTGGGAAAAGAGAGAGAAACTCTCCCTAAGATACATATTCAAATGCAATCTTAGACTAAGATTTTAATCCTAATCAAAGTACTTTCTCCTGTTTTAAAATTTTCACAAGTTAAATCTAAGAACCTTTATAAAAACATAGCTCTGTTCTGTTCTTATAAAGACCACTTAAACAAGAGTGAAATATCAGCTTTCATCACTTCCCAACTCCCCCTCATTCAATGCTCGTAGTAACCTTTGCATTACTCATCTACCTGATATGTTATCCATCTACAAAGCTCCACAATCCTACTCATCTTTGAAGATCTAACTCAAGTTCCACTGCCACCTTAAAACCTGAGACCACACTCCTATGATTTAAAATTTTTGCTAAATGTACATAAAGCAAAAATTGAATTTCTCGTCTTCAGTTAGTTATAGTAGAAATAGATGAGACTTATTATTAAATCAATTCCCAAATGATGCTATATTGAAATACACAAAAATACCCAGTTTACATACCCTGAATTTTTCTCCTTGCGTACAATTTGCCACCAAATGTGTAACTTTGGAATTAAAGTCTTTTCGAATAACTCCACCCATGTGATGGACCAATGTCACCAATCTGACCTCAAAAGAAAAATTAAGCACCGTTGACTTTATAATAATTTAAACAAAATTTTAAACTATGTTTACAATTCATTTAGCATTTACTGAATACTTTCTATTTATAAGGTACATACAGGGATTTTTATAAAGATAAATTTTATGTCAAAAAAAACTAAAGATTCATTGGCTTTGGCACAGGCAAAATTATATATAGTGATAAGCTAGTAAAGATGATCATACAAAACTTAGTTAATTAAACTGACTTCCATACAGCTAAATGTATTACTACTTTTTTTTTAGTACATGCCCCTAGCAGGAACCAAACCCAGGACTCGCTAAGCCAAACCAGCCAGAGCCTATTACTACTATTTTTTATAACATGAGATTACATCACACCAAGATTCTTCACACAAAATTAGAATAATACTCCACTAGCTCCAACACAGAAAAACTTTTGAATCAAAGAATGGTGTTTCTATGAATTCTCTAGGGCAGTAAGAATACTTTAAGGCTCACCCTGGCCGGGTTGCCCAGTGGTTAGAGTGTCCGCCCACAGACCAGAGTCTCAGGTTGGAATCCAGTCAAGGGCACGTACCTCAGTTGCAGTACCTACCTCAGTTGCGCGGTTCGTCCCCAGCCCTGGCCAGGGATATGCAGGAGGCAACCAGTCGATGTGTTCCTCACACAATGATCTATCTTTGTTTCTCTTTCTCTCTCTCCCTCTCTCTCTCTTTTTTTCTCCCTCCCACTCTATCTGAAGATAAATGAAAAAATATCCTCAGGTAAAGATTAAAAAAAAAATACGTTAAGGCTAAACTTGCGTAACAAAAAATTGCATTGTGTGAACAAAAACTTCAAATAATGTGGCTGATAGGATACGGAACCAAAAGACAGTTTAAACAAATTAAACAGTTATGGAATTCTTCTGTTAATGCATATGCTAGCCATCCTAGACAAAATATTTGTTTCTTTACAAGGCTCTTCAGAATGTTTCTTCACAAATTTTAAAATGGGTACAGTCATAGTAATTTCTCCTTCAAAACTTTTAAAATAAAACCATGATACCAACCTCAGAAGATGGGCATGGGGGGAGAGGGAAGGGGAAGAGATAAACCAAAGAACTTATATGCATAACCAATGGACATAGAAAACAATGCGGGGAACAGGGTCAGGAAGAGTATATCAATTGGGGAAAGAGGAGAAACACCTGTAACAAAAATAAATTAATAAAAAATGAATAAATAAAACCATGATACAATTATCAAAAATAGTGCCAATTTAAATTTATTTTGCTGGTAAAAATATTCTTTGAATACAATGTTTTCAAATACTTACTAGTTCTTCTTTCTTCCTGAATCCAGTAAAGCACAGTACTAGATTCATCATGCTTGTACAATACAGTGGACGACATGAAAATGGCAAAGGCTGAAGAATACAACAATTTTAAATCTGTGAACTTTCTTTATAGTAGAAAACAGAATACATCTTTCTCAAGTTAAACATATCTTCCCTCTTGCCAATCAACTACCCCAATCCAAATATCTACTTGCATTTTTCAATATGCAGCAAAAAAAGAGATTGCTAGTTTAATAAAAAAATTCCCACGATTCCCAAATCATATTTGATACATAAAATCTAAACACTTTATGATTTCCAAATTAAATAAAATATATTCAAACCTTTAATTCCAAAATGTACTTAGTCACATGTAAATATTATCGATAAGGAAATAGTTTCAATTCCATACACTGTTGCAAATGCTTCCAATTAAAGTAAAAACAGATCAAATATCTACAGATACCAGGTATATAACATGTAATGAACCAAATATATGTCCAATTTTTGAGATAAAAAAGGAGGTAATCAGTAAATAATTTAACCAATTTAACACACACATATATATCAGAATAAGAATTATAGATATGTTTAATTATTTAATATATGTGTATTTAATTAGCACCATTATTCAAAAAGATTCTTTTTCTTAATTTTCATCTTTAAAATTTTATTTGGTTTCTGAAAGCAACATTTTTCAATCAAAACAGAATTAAAAATTATCATGTGCTTATTATTAGTATCTATAACAAAAACAATGACTTAAGCTATTTTAAGTTAATAAGGCAAGCTTAAGAATGGCAAAACATAGCAATAAAACCAAAGAATAGGGACTAACACTGCTATAACTTATATATTACATATTTGGTTTTTATTGCTGAACTTTCAAATGTCTTAGATTTTCACTACTAAAAATTACAGTAGAAAGAATGAAAGGACTATACTACACTAGCTACTACTATTCCTGTTCTAAATATTTCATGACCTCAACATCAATGGAATTGTTCTGCTTATGAATTCTCAAAACATTCATTAATAAAAATTTAACCTTGAAAATAATAAACATATATTCTTCTTACCTCTCCTTTTTGTGCACAGTTTAATACCACTGGTGGTCCAATAACTCTACAATCAGTCTTATATAATTCAGTAAAAACAGGATCCTGGAAGTCCATGACTATGAATATATTTTCAAATTCTGGAGAATCCAAACTTTCATATTCTTCCATTGATTCCATCTTTACAAAGGGCACTTTAATTTCCTTGATTTTTTTCATGTATTTAAAGAAATAAAATTTATATATTATAAAATTAATTATTATAATTCTCTAAATAAGACCTACAAATCAATTCAATACCAAAATTTTTAATTTTATATTTGTAGAAAACATAAGTTTTAAATCATACAAGAATGAACATCATACTTAGTAGTGAACAGTCATTTCGTTAGCTGCTTATTTGTATTTTTATATATGCATATCTCCATCTACCTTCAGATCTTAAATTTTGGCCCTGGCCAGTTTTGCTCAGTGGTTAGAGCGTCAGCCTGAGGACTGAAGAATCAAGAGCACATACTCGGTTTGGGGTTCAATCCCTGTCCCTGATCAGGGTCATGTGGGAGGGAACCAATCAATGTGTCTCTTTCACATCAATGTTTCTCTCTCTTTCTCCCTCCCTCCCACTCTATCTGAACAAGAAATCAGTGGAAAAATATCCTTGGGTGAGGATTAAAAAAAAAAAATCTTAAAATCTGAAGATTATAAAGGCATAAGCTTCTAACTTAACTTAGTAGTCATTCATCCAGTATGCATATAAAATAAAAATGATGAATTTAAGTACACACATTTTGATAGTAGGATGCATTAAAAAGATATTCTCTATTGCTTTTTCTTCCAACCAAAAAAATGATGCTATACGTATAGTTCCTTCTTGCACAAAATTGTCTTCAAAAAAATAGAAAACTATGGCACTTAATATCTACAAAAAGGATGTAGATTAATGTAATCATTTCAGGATACATGAGGAAAATAAGAGAAAGATATGAAATATGTAGGCAGTTGCAGCATGGCAAATACAGAAAACAATGTTGTGGGAGGGCAGTATCAGGAGGAGGGTGTCAATGAGGAAAAAGGGAGAAATATCTGTAACAAAAATAAATTAAAATTAAAAAAAATTTTTTTAATTAAATGCTAATCAGACCTTAAAATAATTAAAAGTTAGGAAGCGCCTGTTGGGAATTCTTCCAGTTTCTATGGAAATGATTCAAAACACAATAAAAAAAAAGGCAAGTTACTGTTTACTACTTTATCCTGTACATCTATGAAAAAGAAGATATTTAAGTGCTGTATGACTCCTGTGTAAAAAAAAAGAACCATTAAAAAAAAATTCTGAATGGGTAAATAATTTGGGCTTTATTTGCTAGACTGATGTGATAGGCTGAATTATGTACCCCCAAGATTCATGTTGAAACTCTAATCCCTGATACTTTAGAATGTGACTGTATTTGACAGTAGGGCCTTTCAAGAGGTAATTAAGGTGCTTGCTTTGACAGAACATATACTAAAATTGGAGCCATAATGAGATTAGCATGACCCCTACACAAGGGTGACATGCAAATTCATAAAGCATTCCATAAAAAAAAAGAGGTAACTAAGATAAAATGAGGTCACATGGGTGGGCCCTAATCCAATCTGTCTTGTGTCCTTATAAGAGGAGAAAATGTGGACATACAACAGAGATAGCAGGGATGTGCATGCAGAAGAAAGGCCATGTGAACACACAGCAAGAAAATGGCTGCCACCTACACGCCAAGGAGTAAGGCCTCCAAAGAAACCAAAACTGCCGATACCTTAATCTTAGACTTCTAGCCCTAGGAACTCTGAGAAAATACTTTTCTGTTGTTTAAACCAACCAATGTGAGGTATTTTATTATGGCAGCCCCCACAAACTATTACAGCTGGTATAGAGAATTAGATATATTCCATATGCTGAGATAAATTCCCTAATGATTGTCAATCATTATGACTTACGATTTTGGAAATAAAGCATAAATTTGGAATAAAGTTAATGAGAAAAAAAGATAAAGAATTTAAAGAAAAGTATCAGATCTTTGTAAATACATAAGTCATTTCAATTTAACAATGCCAAATTATAAAGATTTCATTATTTGCAATATATGTTACAGTTTAGGGTTTCAGAAATACAAATTTTAGAAATAAATATAAAGTTGTTCATATTCATCTAGCTTCAGAGTACGCAATATGCGTTATGCCTAATTAAGGTCCAATCACCATAAGTGGAATATAAGAATACAACCAAGGGAAGTGCAGCATGCCACATGCAATGAAATGCTTGACCTACCATATTAACAACACTTTTTATTAATTTTTCATCCAATTTTCCAGGGCAACTTTCTTTTATCTTTATAACAGGGACATCCATTATTTTAATAGTCTGTAGAAAAGAAACTTAAGTATGAGATTAAAACTATAAAATAATGTACACACTGATGGAAATAGCCTTTTAAAAAAATTAAAAACTTAAAACTCCATACCTTTAAGGCTTTTATAAGTTCTTCTTGTCGTCCAGCTTCCTGAACCAATATCACTCTTGTTTCAACCTGAGGCATTTCTTCTATTAAAGTTAAAAATGTTTAAATGTTTATCAGAAATTAACATCAAAATCAGGTTCCTAATCCCATTTTTGGTTATATCTGCTGTTTTCCATCTTTGAGATCATAACATTCTCTAAAATTAAAATTACTTAATTCCCAGTTTATTTTTTTAAAAAATTTGCCACATAGCATTTTAACAAAGAAAAAATGTATGCAAACATCAGCAATCCTCCTAACCAAAGAAGGCATTCACTGTCTTAGACAGTCCTCCTCTTCAACAGCGCATGCAACTTTAGGAAAGGCCCATTTACACAGTGGAGTAAGAGAAGTGCCTTTTCACCTAACCATACATAACTGAATACAATCTAGCTAACAATGTTGCAGCTAGATTACCCTCTCATACAGAAACAGCAATATCCAACAAGAAGCATTAATCCAAACAATAATCAAAGAGTGTAAAGAGTGTTACAGTTAAATCATAAGAAAATCTGTACTCAGTAAATTAAGGGTTAAAATAGTAATTTGGTGTTTTAAAGCACATTTACCTTCAACATATGAAGTATGTCCAATAAATAAGTTTTCCTTAGAAGTTTCAGTAACTTTAGAATCAAAAATAGAAGAGTCTGCCAAGCTTGTCCTCCCAGTAGTGGATGTTAGTACACTATTGTCAGCCATTGTTTATACTCTTCTAAGTTTGCTAAAAAATTTAAATTTGAATAAAAATACATGAAACAAACATGATCACTGGGCAAAACAAGCATTAGAGCCCTTATTTTCTTGCTCTTGTAAGTTTCTAACACTTATTTCCAATGGGAGGGGAAAGGCTATAAACATGTTTTCACTCAAAGTCACCTTAAAAGAATGTTATAAAAAAAAGTCAAGAGATGAACTAACCTGTGTTCAGAAAAGAAGAGAGCCCTGGCACGTTTGGTTCAGCAGTTAGAGCTTCTGCCTTTGGACCAAAGGGTCGTGAGTTCAATTTCCAGGTAAGGGGACAAACGTGGGTTGCAGGTCCAATCCCACTGCAGGAGGCAACCAATGGATGTCTCTCTCTCACATCGATGTTTTTCTAAAAATCAATGGAAAGATATCCTCGGATGAGGGTTAACAAAAAAAAGAAAGAAAGAAAGAAAGAAAGAAAAGAAATGGAGGAGGGAGATTTTAATAAACCAAAACATTTTAAGTTCACATTTTTCTCCTATGCCAATCTTCTTCAAGGCCACCAAAACAGGTGATTAGAAATTACAATTGTCTCTGGTGATACTGTATATGATCAATTTATTGCCAAAACAGCTTTAAGATTTAGGGGGGGGTAAGTTTCATGATAAACTGATGACAGAACATATGAGTTTGAATACAAACTGAAATACACTAATCACTTTTTATTCATGTATTCTGTAAGCTTTTTTTGTTATTGTTTTGTTTTGTTTTGGTGTGTGCCCCTAGCGGAACCGAACCTGGGACTCAGGTCCGCAGGCCGACGCTCCAACCGCTGATCCAAACCGGCCAGGGCTGTATTCTGTAAGCTTTTAAAAGAAATGCAATAGAATCAGTGTTCATAAATTCCTACAGCTTATTTTTCATCCAAGAACATTCTTAAGGAACTTCTGACTAAAGAACACTAATAAATCACATGCCTCTTTACAACACAAAGATAAATTTGTCACTTAAACAAATATTCACTTTTGATTTCTTTTTAATTTTCAGGCAATCATCTTCCAGGGTAGGGAAGCTAAATGCAATACTGGACATGTGAGTGGCGTTACTGACAACAGTAACAATATTTACAACATTACATAACATTATGCTTATGTGGCAGACACTGTTCGAAACCTTGTGTTTAATCTCTGCAACAATCCTCAGAGGCAGGTGCTGTTATTATCTCTAGCTGATCAAGAAACCTAGAACAGAGGGGCTCAGTAACTTCCTCCAAGTCCCAGTTAGCGGTGAAACCGGGATTCCAACCCGGGCTGATTTCCAGAAGCTGCGCGTTTAACCACTAAGCACACAGATCTGCACAGAAGAAGGGGCGCGGGGAAGTCGAGGGGCCGCGGGGAAGGCGAGGGGCGGCGGCTGGGGCCGGACGGGCGGGCTTTCCTGTAAAAACTCAAGTGCCCACAGAGAAGACGCCAAGAAGAATCCTGGAGGAAAACCACGAATTCCTCCGAGATAAGACCACAAGGGGTGCCGCCGCCGGCCCCCAGAGCCGCAAAGGGCAGTGCGGCTTGTCAAGACGCCCCCCCTTCCCATCTCCGCCCCTTCACCCACTGACTCTCCCGGAAGAAATACCGAACCAGGTGAGCGGTGGCGATGCACAGCGGCCTGGGGGGCTCGGGCTCCCACTCGGCGTCACGGCCCGGCGCTGGGAGAGCGGCGGGGCAGCCCCGGAGCCGGGGAGCCTGGGCTGGGACGCTCCGGAATTCGCGGTCACCGGGGCGGGGCTGTCGCACTCAAGCAAGGGAGCCCACTGCTCCCGGGACGCTAGCGCACTCCCACCTCCCTCACTCACCCCCACACCCACACCCACAGAGTCCTCACCACTCAAAACATGCCCTGGAAGTGCCACCTCTTCAAGCTCCGAGTCGTCTCACCGTTACCGCCATTACTCGCCGGAGGCACCCACAGCCAATTCAAAAAGTGAGCCTCTCCCTCTAAAAGCCATGCCAATTGGCGCGTGATGTCAACCCCCTTCCCATAGGCTGGAGTCTCCAGAGGGGCGGTGATTGGTCGCTGATCTCCGCCACTGATTGGTTGTACGTGTGTTTCAAATCAACCCAACGTCTCGGAAGTCGGAACGTGAGGATTTTGGAGAGAAGTTCCCGGATGTGACCAGAAGTTGGCGGTGGTGGCTCCTGGGCTACTTCCTTGGGAGGAGCAGGTGTTCTGTGGCAACCGGTTGTTTACTCAGTAAACATACCGTTTCCTGAGGAAAGTTTGAGCAATTCTGCTCCAACTTTTCTTTATTTTTAAGCGTCCCCAAATCCTCCGTACGAAATCTGTGCCTCCATAGATGACTTCCCCCCACTGATTGTGACCTGTGAGATCTCCCTGCCCGAATGCTTTCTGCTTTAGCAATTGAGTTAAAGGTGTGGACGCAGCAAGGACAAGGACAGGACGACTCGGGCACGCAGACGGACCTAAATCAGCAGCCTGCTCATTTAAATCCTGATGTACGTAAAGCATTGCACTCTGGGCTAGGGGATTTCGTGTGTGATTAAAATAAATTCTTAGCATTTCTCGGACTTTAAAAAATATATATGCTTGCATTTGAACAAATGTAAAAAGAAATATGTCTGAGATTCTAAAATCCTGAAGCCAAAGTAAACTGCTACCTGATGTCCTCCCCCACCCCCGCCGTGAGATCTTTTGTTACTTCCCTCTAAAGACTAGCCAAGAATTTATCATTTCTCCTGTAATAACAATTGTTATTATGAAACAATCTTATTTTCTTCATTCTCTAAATATAATACCCTGTATAATACAATCTCTTAAGAAAAGTACGCCTCCCCCAGGTGGGTTTTGCATAGTTCCCACCAAATCACTGATTTACATTTAAAAAGAAAGGGGAATCCATAGCCAGAACCTTAAATTCCATTGAGAGAAAGAAAACTTGTACTTTGAAATGGAACACTTTTGAAAATCTCAAACAGGTCATGGGGATTCACATTTTTTTCTGATTTTGTCAGGCCACCTTAGAATGCCTGAAAAGTTTGCAATTGCAATACATAAAATGAATGGATCAGTCTGGTAATTATTGATTTCCCTGTTTATAATTGAAGAATATTTGCAGTCTGCCTTCATTATAATGCTATGATAACCGTTAGGGCAAAGAAAAGAAAAACAGTAATTGAAATTTCATTTTGGAATGTGCTTGCATTCTTACACTAGGGTGTGCCCAGCATTCCAAAAATTCTCATCACTGAAAAGACTTTATAGCTAGTAAGGAGAGCAATCTATTTCCTGTTGAACAAGTTTGCACCCAAACCTAATGACTGACTACATGGTATTGATATCATTGTAACGAAT